TAATAAACTTATATATATATATATATATAGAGAGAGAGAGAGAGAGAGAGAGAGAGAGAGAGAGAGAGAGAGAGAGAAAGAGAGTATTGGGAATTAATTAGGGTTTGTGTGTGTAATAGAATATATATATTTAGTAAAAATATTTATTTTAAAAAATATTAATTAAAATAAAATTTCTAATTTTTGAAAGGTTAAACTATCAATCTTATTTTAGAATTGTGAATTTTTAAAGTAAGAAATTCCGTAATTTTCACTTTTGGAATTTACGAGCATTCAGCGGCACGATTAATGGGTCAGGCCCAAATGGTGGGCTTATCTTTCTGTTAAATTTTTACACGTGGAAGTGAAATAAAAAATTTTAATAGAAGGAGTCCAGAGCAATCAGATTCGAGGGTTTTTTGCATAGTGGAAGATAAATTTGGAGACAGTTATTTCTTGGTATTAATAGTGAAATTGTAATTTTCTTACACCTAGTAAAAATTTTCTCTATTTTTTCTATTTTCTGTTTTATCTTCCATCTTAAGTAGTTTGAGTAAAAGAGGGTAACGGTAGGTTGATCGTCAGCGTTAAGATGTATCGATAGAATAATAATTTCTCAATATTAATAAAATAAAAATTAATCATCTTAATAATTGAATTTAATTTTCTAAAAATTCTATAATTAAGATATTATTTATTTTATTTATGCTTATTATTTGTGAGTTGACATTTATATTTGGTGCCATTCTTCATGGGTTGTAGTGAAAACGATATCATGTATTGAATTTTCAGCCATAGTCCCAACTCCCCACATTATTTATGTGGTATGTAGTTAATAGTTATGTCAATTTCTTCAATCAATTCATATACACTATTAATTCGAGATATACGTGTCCTATAGACGTAAACAGTAAGCTACTAATTTTTAAGGAACCGAAAGAAGCACTTTGTATTTTGAATCTTCGGAGTTATAGGCCTCTTTAAGTTTCATTTATTTCGTTAACTTCGATATCTTACTTTATAGTAAAAATCATTCAAAGTGAAGAGGGAGATTATTTTTGGACAATTATACTATTTGGTCATCTATCACGTGTCTATCGTGCTATCTCTTACTATCTATTTAGACATTTTGTCAAATTGAAACACCGTGATACCATGTTAAAAGATTGGGAGAATGGTGTAGTATAAACTAAAGGTTGAGAACATAGATATCGCATTCTGGAAAGGTTCGAGCCGCCTAACGAATTTACCCTTTTTATTTGGACCATAAAAGAAGATCTCCTTATTAAGATTTGTCAATTGATATTGGGTAATAAGTGATAACATGACGTTAACAATATACCATAATGTAAATTTAGATACACAAGTTCAGTGGTAGTTTTGTTATTTACGTTATATTACAACTATACTACACACGTGCTTACCTATCAAAGAGGAAAAAGGAAAAAAGGTGCATAATTGATTTGGAGGTTATTCCAAGGCAAATATAGTCTAAGAGAATATTCAGAGGTTATTCCGATTGCTTTGTAGTTATATGAAAACGGAGATTCAATTGTGATTATTATATCAATCGGGGGGTTTTTGGTATATTTACACGAGAGTTAAAATTATTAAAAAAGTAAATATTTATCGTGGCAATAAATAAAATGACAATTTGTTTTTGCCACGTTATCGACGTGATTATCCTTTACCATTAAAAGTTTATGTTTTGCAAGTGAAATCAGCAAAACGCATTTTCTTTTCTTTACAATGGTTTGCATTTTTGAATTCGCTTTGAAATTGAAAAATATATTATTACACTTATTCTTTAAAGAAATCCATAATATTAACTCGTCTAAATGTCAAATAATTTGAAAAGTTTTCTCCATATGGTTGTTGCAAAACAAATATTGAAACCAAAAATTCTGAATTGATACTAATATATGATAAATTGTGTTTCACGTGATGAAACAGATTCTTTTATCATTTTTTTTAATTCAAATTAAATTTAACATTTCTTTTTTTTTTTTTTTTTTTTTTCCTTTTTTTTATTCAAATTTAATTTAACTATGACTTGTGAGAATCGATATGTGGTAGAAGTGATATTAGCCCCTGTTTGTTTATCATTATTTGCACAAAAAAATGAAAAATATTATTGTTATCCATCACATCAAACCACCATATTTGACTTTCTATTTTTTGTGTGGGGCTCGTAATAACTATATTTTTCATTCTCATTCTTACATTAATATGGCTCAAACGGGACCTAGATAACATTGAATTTGAAACCGTTTGGCCTGGCCGGCCCCCGATGAGGACGGCAAAGAAGCTTCCAAATATCACTCGTAACAGAGGCATAATATTTTAATTAGGTAGGTGGCTTCTCATATAGCAATATAAACAGTTGTCATCATGCTACTCCTCCTCTTGTGCTTAACTATGATACTATAAAGAATGCGTTCTAAATGGATTTTGGAGTGACAGTCTGGTTTTCTTGGAAACCAATCCCAAATTTTGGTGTGGAAAAGTTTAGCATTGATATTTATGATCCGTCCTGGATAGAAGAAGTCATAGATAGTCAGTTGAAGAAGGTCAAAGTAACGTGGCACTTCATTGGAAGAGGGGATTGTTGGAAAGTGAGAATAAAATTATGGACATTGGAGCAACAGTTGACTAACATGAAAACGTGTTATTCGGTCATGGAAAGATAAATAGGCTTATAAAGGGTGTTGACAACTCCATCTAAATAGTAAACCTTTAGATACGAAACCTTATTTCAATATCTAAACAATGAACGGCTTGAATATTTCTTCAAACAGCTTTAAATAAGAAACATAGAAGTTAATATTTATCACATGAATCGCTTGTTCATTGATTTCTCTCTTTTATTTGATCGGGTTAGTGTTTAGTGTTCTAAATTTTAGATATGAGATAGAAAATAGCGCGAAACTTTCCATGGCCAAAGACTCTCATGCCTTTTCTTGCTCGGACCAACCCAAAAGACCCTATTTAACGAGTCTTTCTTCATTTTTAGAGCAAGAAGCGGAACTACAAGAAAACGCTCTTTATCTTTATGGATGATCAATTCATTTCTAAATATAGTTGAGAGATTTTATTAAAAAGTTGATAAAATTTTAAATCGAAGTGAACAATTAATTTTATCACATGTTTTATGATACACACATCATTTATTTACTTTTTAGTCATATATTTTATTAAAATTTATTAAAAAATTAATTGTTTGCCTAACAAACACGGGTTAAATAGGACGATAAACAGGAATATTGAAATGGTATTGGCACTACTAAAAGGGTAGGGCCCCTATTATAGTCGGTAACGATGTGAGGCTCGTCAAATCAACGCGCTACAATATTGTTTGTGCAATGACAATGCAGACCATCAACAGTACTAGAGAGGCCACAATGCAAGAGGTGGTATTGGGGGTAAATTTGTAAACAAGAATAAACGGAGGCTATACTGCTACTTCTCGGCCAGCTTCTTTTGGTGAGCTTCTAGAACGCCAAAGTTGACAAAAAGCAACTAACGGCAGCACTCTCCATCTCTTTTTTTCCCCCTCTTATTTTCAACCATATAATCATTTATAAAATAATATTATACGCCAATAAAATTTTTTTATTCTTTTTCAACCACACATTTTTAAAAAAATATTATTTCAACCATTAAAATTTGAAAAGAATAGGAGCCAAACAAGGATTTATCTTGAATATATAATGACGTTTTTATTCACAAGCCTTTTCAAATTTCCGTTCTGCAATACAAAGTTCATATTCATACGAATTAAAATCAAGATTTTGGTCAACAATTAAATTTATTGCATTTAATAATATTTATAATTTTTCAGTCACACATTCCATCAATTATCATAAAAATTACTAAAAATCTAATTTTAACCAAATAGGAACATAGTTTGAAATCCCCAATACAACAAATACAAAAAAATGGAAGGAGGAGAAATCTTGGATGAGTTTAAAAATGGCTATACAAAAAACCATGTAACTAAAGCCCCCATTAATTTTCATTACATTACATTTTATTTTTCTATCTTATTTTCAATCACATAATCTTCCATAAAATAATATTATACATAAATAAATAAAAATTCATTCTTTTTCAACCACTCATTTTTCAGAAAAATATTATTTTGCCCATTTTCATTTTCACAAAATGGGGGCCAAACGGGGGCTAAATTTATTTTAGGCTCATGTTTATAAATATATCTATAAATATCCAAAAAAATTTTATTTATGCATTTTGTAAAATTTACAAGCATTATCTACCATTTATTTATATTTATTTATAAACAAAATCACTTATAAACACTTCTCAAACATGCTCTAAAATAGACTCATGATGAGTACGTTGGGCTCAATAAGATTAAATACAATAAGGGATAAAAAAATTTACGCACTAGTTGTATGAAAGTTAGATCGAGATTGATTATCTAGTTAACCTAAATTTACATACGATGATTAAATATACCTAAGTCCCATCTCATTTATACTTGCAAACGACTTTCGTTCTTTCATAGAAGTCATCTTTTTTGGACCATCAATGTGGGCAATGACACATAACATCAATGTCATATACCCTCCTTAAAAATATCATTCACTTTGTTTCAAATATGACACTTGTACCCTCGAATTAACCTTTTATTGCATAAATCACCATTCCCTCCAAGTGGAGGGCACAAGCCTACTTCATAAAGGAAATGGATGAAATTAGACAAAAATGATCATTTATGCAATTAAATGTTTATTTGACGACGCAAATGTCAGGTTAAAACGATAAAGAAGATTATCTTCTTTTTACTATTAGATCATGGCAACTACATACAGAACTCACCTTCTATCCATCGGTGCTAGGACATGAAAGATTATTTGATTGTTTGGATGGGTGATGATTTTCTTCGAAATCATCATCATGAAAAAAAATTGTTTTATGTTTAGTAAGTTAATTTGTGATTTTGTTTTTCAAAGGATCAAAATGTGTAAAAAATAACAAGAAGATGCGTTCCGATTCAATAATGTAAATGTGAAAAGCAACGTGTAAATGTTGGAAACAACAAAATTTCATTTTTCAGAACGATTACATATGAAGAAGAAAAAGGTAAAGAAAAAAAGTCAAAGAAAGAGAGAAAAAATGATAGAGACAAAAGGAGGAGGAAGGTCTCTCTCCTCTCTAGATGATGTGCAAAATTCCCATTTTCATCGTCCTCTTCTCCATCCCCGAACCTTCAACTTTTCCCCTAAATAACCTCCCATACGTTCCAAAGTTTTTGGCGTTCCAAATTTCTCTCTTTATTGTCAGATTTTTCTAGAATATTTTTTTGCCATAAGAAGATGACATTTCCAGCTAATATTCTTGGTTTTTCCACCCCTTTCACCTGAAATCTTTATATTGATTCGTGTTGTAAGAGATCTGAGATTTTTGGGTTTTGAAAGCTTGAAAACTCTCTATTTATCTTCTTGATTCTTGTGTGGTTTTGTCATAAAGATTGGATTTAGATCTTGTAAATCGCTGTTATTCTTGAAATTCAGAAGCTCAATTGGCCGATAGATCCAAAAGGTGGGGAAAGTTTAAGAACTGAAGGTTTAGTTGAGGGAACTGAAGCTTTGATAAAAAGACAGATTTTGATAGATATTTGTCTGTATTTGGCTCAAATCTTGAGATCCATTGTTTGTAAAGGGTTGAAGTTAATAGCGTTATGGGGAATTGCTGTGCTGTACCAAAAACGTCCGACGAGGTAAAAAAGGGGAAGCATAAGCCGAACCCCTTTGCTATTGACTATGCTGGTAATCAAGCAATACCTAATGGGGGATTCAAATCCTATGTGTTAAGCAATCCAACAGGCCATAATATTGAGCAGTTCTATGAGCTCGGTCGTGAACTAGGTCGTGGTGAATTTGGGGTTACATATTTATGTACGGACAAATCTAGTAGGGAAGTTTTTGCTTGTAAATCGATGTCCAAGAAGAAATTAAGAACGAGAGTGGATATCGAGGATGTAAGGAGAGAGGTCGAGATCATGAAAAAATTGCCTAAGCATCCCAATATTGTAAGTTTGAAGGATACTTATGAGGATGATAATGCAGTCCACATAGTGATGGAGTTGTGTGAGGGTGGTGAATTGTTTGATAGGATTGTTGCTAGAGGACATTATACTGAGAGAGCTGCAGCTGCTGTTACTCGCACAATTGTTGAAGTTATTGAGGTGAAGATTCGATATATTTGATTTTGGTTTTCCTATATAGTTTGAAGCCTGATCTGCATATTTTGTTATAGTTCGTACTTCATAGTTCTAATTTCCATACCTTTAATTTCCTGCATATTTTGTTATAGAAGATCTACTTGCTAAATTACATGAAACCTACTACAGTGAGTAATTGAGGACGGCAACTGAAATGGTTTATTTGAGGTTTAAAAAGTTTGCTTGATGATCAATCTGATTTCGAGTATGCTCTGCCTGTTGGTTTTTCAACTTTTGGCTATCTGAAGTCTGATAAAATGTATTAAGGCTTTCTGGATGTTTCGATTATCTAGGCTTAACAATGCTTATTCACTCTCTCTTATTTTTTCTTATATTGTATTCAAAAAAGTTTCACATTCGTCTGCTGGAAGTAATTTAATGTTGGGCATTTGTGAATTGGTCCTAGACTAACAAGCACAATGATATTTTAATTGCTACTATTTGATTTCTTTGTTCTACTCTGTGTTTAGATGCATTGCTCGACATCTCTTTCACATATGCTATTCTGAATGAGAAATTATAGGTCCCATCCATTCTCATAGTTCTGACATTTTCTTTTTTCCCCCACTAGATTCTTTTCAAAGAAATCATACTATATTGTGCTTCACTGTTTGAGTTAATATGTGTGGCTGTTCTGCAGATGTGTCATAAGCATGGGGTCATGCATCGTGATCTTAAGCCTGAAAACTTTTTGTTTGCAAATAAGAAGGAAACATCTCCACTAAAGGCTATTGATTTTGGGCTATCAGTTTTCTTCAAGCCTGGTAAAGCCTTTTCTTCTTCATTTTTTTCTCTCTATGCGTTCTTCTTCTTCCTTTTTTTTTTTTTTTTTTTTTTTTTTTTTTTTTTTCCCCCGGTTTTTTTTTTTTTTTTTTTTTTTTTGGCAATTGGAATAAATTCTATCCCCAATTGTAACAAATTTTGTTCATTTAATTGACAATTTTCATAAAAAACAAAGTCAAATGAAACCAAAAGATAAAAAATTTCAACATTTTTTAGGTGAAAAATTATACCAATCAAACCATTAACTGACAATTTTCAAGAAAAAAAATTAGCCTTTTTTTTTTCTTTTTTTTTTTTTTTTTTTTTTTTTTTTTTTTTTTTTTTTTTTTTTTTTTTTTTTTTTTTTTTTCCCTCAGGTGCTGATTATTTTCATTTGTCTTAGCTAATCTATTTGTAATTTTTAAGGCGAGAGATTTAATGAGATTGTCGGAAGTCCTTATTATATGGCTCCTGAGGTGCTGAAGAGAGACTATGGTCCAGAAGTTGATGTTTGGAGCGCTGGTGTGATTCTGTACATCTTATTATGTGGTGTTCCTCCTTTTTGGGCAGGTCAGTCTCCGGTTTCCACATCTCAGGAATTGATTAGTAATTTCTTGCGTGGACACACCCACACCCCACAATTATGAAAGCATCCTAGCGTATGGCTCTCTAAGCTTGAAAGTAATTTTTAAGCTACTTTTTTGGATTAGGAATTAACGATGTTATCATACCATTTATTTTCTGTTGTTTTCACTTCCTTGAACACAACAGCACGGGCATCAAACATTCATTTGGGTGATGCTTTATTGTAATAATAGATTCTTCTTATGGCATGTTTGGCTATCTTTAAAAAGCTTATTAATAAATATGAAAATTTAATTAATTTTTTGGTTGATGAAAATTAGAGATATGTTACTTATTTTGACTACAAGATAAGAGTTAGCTTCAAAATAAGTAACTTTTTTTATAAAGTAAGAAAAAGTAGTTACCATATGTGTTTGGAAACTAAAAGTTACCTAAAAAGTAATGTTTACTTATCTTAATCTTTGCTGAACGTGCTCTGAGTAGAATAATGCTGTTATACAAGACTATTATCAAATAGAAAGGGAGGATTCAGTTAATTGACCAGTTGATGACTTGATAAAGAATTGATATATAAATTATATCACATATCATATTTATTTAAGTAGCTTTCTAGAATTGCATAGTTGTATGGTTTCTGCCTCTCATTTTTGACGTAGTTGTCACATACTATCTTTGGAAATACAGAAACTGAACAAGGAGTTGCCCGGGCAATCATTCGGTCTGTTGTGGATTTTAAAAGGGACCCTTGGCCTAAGGTTTCTGATAGAGCAAAGGACCTTGTGAAGAAGATGCTCAACCCTGATCCCAAGCAGCGCCTTACGGCGCAGGAAGTTCTGGGTAAAGTACAGTTACTGTCATAATGAATAGAGAGAACTGCACTAACACCCTTTGTCATTTCCAATTAATGAACCAATACCTCCAGTTCTTTGGAACTGTGTAAATCTTTGAAAATTTTCAAACAAGGGGTGATAGTGTGTTAATCAGGAATGCCGGTAGGGTTAATGTAATTAACCTAAATTTGTATACTATGCCTTTGTTGCTTATTGAAATGCTTGATTACTTTTCAAATTCGTCACAAAAGCATGAAATTCTTGACAAAAGTAGGTGCTGGTTTTTCAGATCATCCTTGGTTACAAAATGCAAAGAGTGCTCCAAATGTTTCATTAGGTGAAACCGTGAGAGCTAGGCTCAAACAATTTTCAATGATGAACAAACTGAAGAAACGAGCTCTTCGGGTAACATGTCTTGCCTTTTTAAAATATCCAAGTTCATTTAAGTTTCTCGTTTGTATTCTTATATCTGTAGGCAAAAGTTGTTCATTTTTGTTAAATGATGTCTCGTAGCAATGATTTGTTTACCGATTGCTTGATTAAATGATAGGTGATCGCTGAGCATTTGTCAGTGGAGGAAGTGGCGGGCATAAAGGAAGGATTCAAAATGATGGATACTGGTAATAAGGGGAAGATTGACATTAATGAGTTGAGAATTGGGTTGCAGAAACTTGGTCATCAGATGCCGGATGCAGATCTTCAAGTTCTTATGGAAGCTGTAGGCGCTCTATCTAGTTAGACCCTTAATGTTTAGACCTATCTCTTATTTGACAGGCATTGTTCCAGTGTCTGAATTTTATATCCTTATTGTGATGAAGTCTCATCTCTACCCTGCAATATACTTCCATTTTATTCCTTGTCCTAAACATGAGGCCCACATCGATCCATGATAATGTCAACCTGGTTGTGGTTGTGCTTTCTAAGCAATCTTACTACCATTACCATATTTTTCAATTTTAGTTTATGAAGTATAAATGTATAATTCTAAGCCTCCTATGTTTGGCCCCTATTTTTCCAAAAACTCATTTTTACTTATTTTTCAACCACACATTCTCCAATAGAATACTATTTCAAAATGCATTTTGGCCCAAAGATGGAACTCAAACAGGGGCTAAATAAATAATTATGCATATATTATTGGATGCTCCAACTACCTTCACATATAACAATTTTACTTTTCTTTACAGGGTGATGTTGATAAGGATGGATATCTCGATTGCGGAGAGTTTGTTGCAATTTCCGTACACTTAAGGAAGTTGGGCAATGATGAGCATCTATGTAAAGCTTTTGAATTTTTCGATAGAAACCAAAGTGGGTATATAGAGATTGAGGAGCTAAGGGACAGCTTTGCTGATGAGGATGAGAGCACCAGTGAAGAAGTTATCAATGCCATTATCCAAGATGTTGACACGGACAAGGTCCATTTTTTTCTCACACTTGACTAAAAATGTGCTAATTAACTTTTTAATCATATGCATTCTTCTGACTTGCTTAAACTTGTTATTCCTGCAGGATGGACGTATAAGTTATGATGAGTTTGCTTCAATGATGAAGGCTGGTACAGACTGGAGAAAGGCATCAAGACAATATTCAAGAGAACGTTATAATAGTCTCAGCTTGAAATTGATGGAGGACAGTTCATTACAAATGAGCAACGAGGGTAGATAACTTAAAACGACCGCAGAATTTTAATCCCAGATGCAAGACTCTTGAGCAACAAAAAAGTATGTTATTTTTCTGCCAAAGATCTCTCATTTTATTTTATTTCTACATGTTATTTGCTTGTAGTCCCTTCTGTTGATTATTATTGGGTATAGGGCCTCATGTTCATGTTTTTTGTTCATTGTAATTATGCTGCTTTATTATTTTAGAGGGATTGAAGGAATTTGGAGAGAATTATTTGTGGTTGTAAATATGCTGCTGTTCATTCAATTAATCGGTTCTAGAGGTCTCGTCATTCAAATTTCGAAGTCCAGTTTTCTCTTGTTTTGGATACATGTCGTTCTTTCATCTATTTATTTATTCTGGTGTGGATATTGTTGTACAAGATGCTGAAAACCTACCTATGCTTGGCACCCGTTTATAGATTCATTTTCACATTTACTGATTGAAAGGTCGGGGCCTGAAAAGGGGCATCAAATGAAGGAACATAAGAGAGGGAAAATGAAGAACATAAAGAAATGACAAATCGTTAAATGAGTGTTATATTTTATTGTTTGTACAAGGTAAAGATGTTAATTGTCTTTTCTTGATTCAACACACCTCTATTATCGTGTCTGAGTAGGATCAAGGGACATCATGCAGAATCTGGTCTGGAGTCGAAATGTTTTGATCTGCCAGCATTTGGCATGCCGGCGCATGCTCGCTGCCTGAATTGACAACGCGGTTTTTCTTCCTCCTGATTTCGGTTTTAACTGTTAGAAGTTGTAATTTTGATGTGTTTTCATGTCCAAAAAGGGTAGTACACCAATTGTAACTTGTTGGAAGCGGTCTAATAGAATCTATAAAAGGATTTAACATTTTTTTATTTTTTATTCACGATGACACTTCTTCCTTAGAATCTTTGCCTAGATTTTGAAGAATTGTATTTTTTTTTTTTTATAAGTAATCAAATGTGTTATTAATCAAAAGGTAATACACAGGAAGTGTATTATACACTTAAACAAGAAATAAACGTTATGAAATTAGGCAGCACATCTATGTGACTAGAAGCTGCAGTACATCTATGTGATTAGAAGCTGCAGCATTAAATCAATTATACAATATTAAATAAAATAATTCTCTAAATTGTTCAAAAGTTTTTATCTGATCATCAAAACAGTGCTCGTTTCTTTCTTTTCACATGCACCAAATAATGCAGTTTGAAATAAGGTCCCAAATAAGTTTACTGTCCTCGTGACGAAACTTTTTCCTCCAAGCCTTCAACATATCTTTCATACGTCATGGCATCACCCAATTCATATGTTGAGAAGCCAGAATATTATTCCACAGCAAAGGAGGGTCATCATAATGCAGGAATAAATGGTCAATTGTTTCCCCATTCTTTCTGCACATTTGACACCAATCTGTAATATAAAACCCCCTCAATCGAAGATTATTCACCGTTAATACTTGTCCCATCACTACCGTCCATAGTAAAAACATCACACTTGGAGGCAATTTATACTTTCATACCATCTTCCAAGGAAATGAATTCTTCGCAGATCCCAATAAGGACCTAAAATAAGTGGTAATTGAGAAAATGCTATCCTTTGCCAGCGTTCACATGATATGGTCACTCTCTCCTACGCTATATGTACTTCATACAAAGAGGTCAATAGCAATGTATAATCATCCACTTCTCAATCTTGTAGTCCCCTCCCAAAAACAATGTTCTAGCTGATGCTCCCGTTATGTGTATCTAATACATCATTCACCACAGCAGATGACATCACGATAATACCATACAAAGAAGGAAATCGCTCCCTTAGCGGTTGATCAGTATACCAACAATCATCCCAAAAATTGATAGTATTGCCATTCCCCACACCGAAGGTCACTCTATTCTGAAAGTCACTCCACCCTCGTCGAATATATCGCCATAAACTCACCCCGTAGGTACCATGACTCTCAAATGAACACCATCCATCCTCCAAAATACCATATTTCTCTTCTATAATTTCTCTCCAGAAACTCTCCCTTTCCACCCCTAAACGCCATAACCACTTACCTAACAAAGCCTTATTAAAAAATACAAGGTTCCTCAATCCGAGTCCCCAACCCTTGTGGGAGAACAAACTGCACCCCAATTTACTAAATGAAATTTTCTCTCCTCTCCTAACCCTCCCCAAAGGAACTCCCTTTGGATCCTTTCTAGTCTCTTAGCCAATGTAACAGGAATGGGAAACAAAGACAAGAAATAAGTGGGGAGATTCGAGAGAGTAGACTTGATAAGAGTAAGGCGACCTCCCTTTGAGAGGTACATACGCTTCCAACCCGCTAATCTTCTCTCTACCCTTTCCACTATACTGTCTCAGATGTGTTTACGTTTGAACCTTGCTCCTAATGGGAGCCCAAGATATGTCATAGGCAACTGCGCAATCCTACAGCCTAATGTAGCAGCCATCATTTCCATGTTATCGACCTCTCCAACAGTGATGGCCTCAGATTTCCCCAAGTTTATCTTCATTCCAGATACGACTTCGAAGCACGGAAGCAAACGACGCAAGTTCCTGAAGTGCTTAATAGCTACATCACAAAAGGTCAGAGTATCATTTGCAAATAGCAAATGAGATATCTACAGTTGACCAATCCTAAAGCCCTTTAACAGACTTTCCCCCATAGCATTTTCAACCATTTTACTGAATGCCTCCATTACAATAACAAACAGTAATGGAGACAAAGGATCCCCTTGTGGCAAACCTCTACTACTCCGAAAATGACCTTTAGGAGTGCCGTTTACCAAAACTGAAAAAGAGATAGTAGAAATACAAAATTGAATCCACTGGCACCACTTGGCCCCGAAACCACATCGCCTGAGCATATACAATAGGAAACCCCAGTTCACGTGATCACAGACCTTTTGAATATCAAGTTTACATAGCATCCTTGGAGTTCCTTGATGTAGTCTTGAATCAATGTATTCATTTGCTATGAGTACGGAATCCAAGATCTGTCGCCCTTTGACAAAAGCATTTTGATATTTAGACACCACTTTTTCCAGCACCTCTTTTAATCTATTAGCCAAAACCTTTGCAATAATCTTATACGGGTACTAGACTGATAGGTCGAAAGTCCTTAATGTCGTCGCTCCTGTTTTTTTTGGGATCAGCACAATAAATGTAGTATTAGAGCTTTTCAAGAATCTGTCACACTGGAAAAAGTAAGCAAAAACATCTATAATGTCCGATCGTATCACATCTCAACAAGCCTTGTAGAATGCGAAGGAAAAGTCGTTCGGTCCTGGGGCCTTGTCATCATTCATACTGAACACCACCTACCTAATCTCGTCCTCCCCAAATAGTCTTTCTAACCGACATCCTCATCAGAAATAGTGGAAAACTCTAGCCCCTCAAGCTCTGGCCTCCAATGAAACTGTTCCTTATAAAGATTTTGATAGAAACTCACCATTTAGGTACCAATATCCTGTGGGTCTTCATAAGTTACCCCATCCACATCCGCCTCCAGCATAGAGATACGATTGCTGCGTCTGTTGGAATTGGCCACCCTATGAAAAAATTGTGTACATTTATCTCCCTCTCTCAACCACTTGGCCCTATATTTTTTGCGCCAAGAAATCTCCTCCATCTCCACCAACCTCTCCAACTTTTCCCTTAATTCTTGACATCGCTCCCTCTCGTCCCCTGCCAATCCTCAACTTTCCTCATTCTTATCCAATTCTTCAATTTCTGAGGTGCATTGATTTTTACGTCAATTAACATCTCCCACCTCCTCCTCATTCCACCTCTTGAGGTCTCCTTTTAAAGCCTTTAATTTTTTATCCAATACATAACTAGGGGACCCCCTGAACTTGTAAGAGGCCCACCAAGTCCGTTCTCGCCCCCCAAAATCGTCCACTTTAAGCCACATTTTTTCAAACCTAAAAGACCTTCTCCCGCTATACTCCACATCCCCAGATAATGAAATTGGGAAATGATCTGAATACACCCTCCCTCGTCTCCTCTGAGCGACGTTCGGGTACTTAGCCTCCCACTCCATACTAATCAGAACTGATCAATTCTAGAATGAACAAATAGCCCCCGATTAGATGACCAAGTAAAATCTCCCCCTATCAAAGGCATATCCACCAACATATTTTCTCAGATAAAATTTGAGAAATCCTCCATAGCCCCTATTAGTCTCCCACCGCTAGACCTTTCAGTAAGAAAGCGGACCGCATTAAAGTCGCCCCCTATGCACGTTGGGAAGTTCCACTAAGCCATCATACCTGCCAATCCCACAATCCGCATCTACTTTCATCGACATTAGGCCCATAAATTCCTATAAACATCCAACGAAATCTATCCCCAATATTTGTAAATGAAAGGGATAGAGAAAATAGCCCCTCACTAACCTCCTCCAATTGAAAGACTCTAGTATTCCACATAATTAGTACCCCTCATGAAGCCCCCAATGACCCCACAAATTGATACCCAACATGTTGTTCCCCCATAAGCTACTTACAACAGCCCTCGAAACGGTCTCCAACTTTGTCTCCTGTAAGCAAACAATGTCAGCTTTCCAACCCCTTAAGAGATTTCGAACGCCTAACCTTTCACCAACTTTATTAAGCCCTCTCACGTTCCAACTAACTATTTTTGGGATCATCTTGACGCACCGTCATCCCTCCCCATCAATCCTCTTCTTGACTCAACACCCCTTATGTCATAATTAATCGAGCATTCATGCTGTTTAAGCTCACGGTCTGTAATGCTCCGAAAATTTTATTTTATTTATGATTAATCATTATTGTCTTGACTTTGGGGAGGGGATTATGTGTCTTAGTTCAAGTATAAGGTTTGGGGGATTTAATTGTCTTGACTTCCACCTCATTTGATAGATCATGCACATGTATTTTAAGGGAGCAAAACTTGCCTTAGTACTAAAATTTCATTCAACCTCCCATAATAAATATTACAGTTAATCAATAATTATAGAAAATTTTGGGGATCATTACCTAGAAATATCAATTTAATTTGCATATGCATGTGATTTGTAATATTTTTACATTTACGACTGGGTAGTTTGTAATTAACAATGCCCTTAAATATCTTTTTTCATATTAAGTAAATTTCTCACAAATTGCTAGACAAATGGTAAGACACGATTTGGGCCTTTGACAAATATTCTACATCCCCATCAAAGTTAATTATTTTGGGTATATAGTCCAATTAAGCTTATAATACATTATATAATTATTTATTTCATTTTTATATGATGTTATGTTATTATATGATAACCTGTCATTTTATGTAAATTGATGCAAACTTGATTATT